GGTGCGTCCGCTCACTAGCGTCAAAGGACGCGACTGATTAATGTGACCAAAGATAAAAAAAAAGATTATTATTATTTTTTACTTTTCGGCGGTTTAATTTTTTTTTCCAACAGTATTTTTTTAAATTACATTTTTATCAACATCTTAGAGAAATAACGATTTACATTCATTTGTTTGTACATTAAATTCGCTATTAGTCCTCGATTATTATTTATTTATACTTGTAGTACCGCATCCATGTGTTACCACTTAGCAAAACAGCTTCTTCCCTTTGATAAAAAAAATGTATATAATAATTGAATATACGCACCGACGCCGTTGTCGCCCATTTCATTATCTTCGTTTATTCATAACAAATTGAAATCTTAAAGTAGAACATCGTTTCGGAAACACATGTACATCAGGTATTCTACGTGACTAACATTCAAAGCTTCCATTATATTATTATTTTAAGTATTATACTGTTATAATTAGAAAAAACAAGTAGAAATAAAAGGGGTGTGCTTATGATTACACAACTGAAGTGAAACTTCTGTAGCTCCATCCATATATAATAGTACTTACATGTATGTACATATTCCATTTACTAGCTATAAGAAAAAGAGAGAAAGAAAATGTGCACGCACACTGCTTCCTCTTGTTTATATATCTCCCACTTAACTCCCGTTCGCCTCGCCCGTATATACTTTTCGTAAAACGTAACGCATTAGCTAGCTTATCCCCCAAGTCAAGCGTGCGTTAAGAAGTTTCACTTCAATAAATTCACGCAAACGAGTGGTGATCGATAGAAGATGCAATCAACTAGGAACAAACGCCATTTATTAGCAACAACAGGAACAAACGCCATTTAATCAGTAACAACAGGAAGAAACGCCATTTATCAGCAACAAAAGGAACAAACGCCATTTATCAGCAACAAAAGGAACAAACGCCATTTATCAGTGACAAAAGGAACAAACGCCATTTATCAGCAACAAAAGGAACAAACACCATTTATCAGTGACAAAAGGAACAAACGCCATTTATCAGCAACAAAAGGAACAAACACCATTTATCAGTGACAAAAGGAACAAACGCCATTTATCAGCAACAAAAGGAACAAACGCCATTTATCAGCAACAAAAGGAACAAACGCCATTTATCAGGAACTAAAGGAACAAACGCCATTTATCAGCAACAAAAGGAACAAACACCATTTATCAGCAACAAAAGGAACAAACGCCATTTATCAGGAACTAAAGGAACAAACGCCATTTATCAGCAACAAAAGGAACAAACACCATTTATCAGCGACAAAAGGAACAAACGCCATTTATCAGCAACAAAAGGAACAAACGCCATTTATCAGCAACAAAAGGAACAAACGCCATTTATCAGGAACTAAAGGAACAAACGCCATTTATCAGCAACAAAAGGAACAAACACCATTTATCAGCGACAAAAGGACCAAACGCCATTTATCAGCAACAAAAGGGACAAACGCCATTTATCAGCAACAAAAGGAACAAACGCCATTTATCAGCAACAAAAGGAACAAACTCCATTTATCAGCAACAACAGGAACAAACGCCATTTATCAGCAACAACAGGAACAAACGCCACTTATCAGCAACAAAAGGAACAAACTCCATTTATCAGCAACAACAGGAACAAACGCCATTTATCAGCAACAACAGGAACACACGCCATTTATCAGCAACAACAGGAACAAACGCCATTTATCAGCAACATTAGGAACAAACGTCATTTATCAGCAACAACAGGAACAAACGCCCTTATCAGCAACAACAGGAACACACGCCGTTTATCAGCAACAACAGGAACAAACGCCATTCAACAGGAACAAACACCATTTATCAGCAACAAAAGGAACAAACGCCATTTATCAGCAACAAAAGGAACAAACTCCATTTATCAGCAACAACAGGAACAAACGCCATTTATAAGCAACAACAGGAACAAACGCCATTTATCAGCAACAAAAGGAACAAACACCATTTATCAGCAACAAAAGGAACAAACGCCATTTATCAGCAACAACAGGAACACACGCCATTTATCAGCAACCACAGGAACAAACGCCATTTATCAGCAACAACAGGAACAAACGCCATTTATCAGCAACAAAAGGAACAAACACCATTTATCAGCAACAAAAGGAACAAACGCCATTTATCAGCAACAACAGGAACACACGCCATTTATCAGCAACCACAGGAACAAACGCCATTTATCAGCAACCACAGTGTGGGTGAAAAGATGCGTAAAACGTCAGCATGTGTTTTGCTAATTATTATTTGTAGAGTGATTGACATATTGAGGAGCTCGATGGCTCGAGTGGTTAGCGTTTTCGGCTGCGATCGTGAAAGGTAAGCAACCTTCGCAGTAGTCGGTCATTGGATGGGTGACCAAAAATCTCCTATCTCGAGTTCCTCCGTGCTTCGGAAGGCACGTTAAGCCGTTGGTCCAGGCAGCATCTGCAGCCATCCATATGGAAGGCCTGTGCCCCAGCAGTGGGGACATTAATACATTGATAGACGATCATGATGAGAGTGATTGAAAGGTAAATTAGGTTAGTCAGAACTCAAAATACATATTCCTATTTTCAAAAATAGTGCCCGGATAATGACTGAAAATTTTAGCAACAGTGACTTTGTATTTAAACTATGCTGAACAGGTGGTGCGCACATACTTATAAAGAATCTCTTGTCATACCGTCAATAACAAATTGTAACGTACCTCAGGAATCGTCCCATGGTTTTGACTATCATATGTTCCATTTCACACATTTTGTCATCTAACATCATCGATATTCATCATATATTTTATTATGTATTTCTGGAAACACACAATTTCAAAAAATATCACACACTATTCATCATTTTGTAAATTCGTATAATAATTCCATCTGTATTGAAAATCACTATTCCAGAGTGCTGGACACTTACCGGCATTTCTCTATATTCTGTTATTTATTTAATTTACTTGTATTTCTCCGCTTTTACATATTTTTAGGCATAAATTATTTTCGTTATTTTCTTGACATTTGTTACACTTAATGTTTTTTATCCGTTGCCATGGCTACACGAATGCTCTTTCCAACTACGTCTATGCCTATTCAACCTCCACAGACCACCTACTTGGATTCTTTTCAGTTCGATTCGAACCTTGTCTAAATTTAAATGGTTCCGGACCTATAAAAAGCCGAACCTCCCTGATCTTTCATTCACTTCTACGGCAAAAGTTGCCAACTCAACTTTTGTTAGCTCGCTACCGAGCTCTAAATTAATAAAGGGCAGTCGGCCCCGGGACTCAAGAAAGACCTCAACGCTTTACAGCACCCTTTGGCTTACTAGACCTTACTCTACTCTCTTCACTTAACTTTCAACCTCATCAAAATACGTCGACGTAACCATTCCAAACAAGATCCGATATACCGTAAGTCAGTGCTTAGATACCTATTCTCGCGGATCACAATTTATAATAACTTTCTATTAAAAGCCTGCATGTTCCGCGTCATTAATCAGTGCGACCGCCGCCACGCCGCCGCCTCAAAACAGATGGGTACAGAAGTCATTCTACGTACTAAGAGCGCTCGAGCATCGCACACATCGTTACTTCCATAGTAAACTTACGAATTTGAATTTCATAAAACCTACTACGAAGAAATATCGTAAATTAATTTGGTAAGTTTACTTTAGGTGTATAAACTTGTTTGAATCTGCATAAAATGCAGATTCAAACAATCAGACTTTTGGGACCGTCATTGATGTGACTTTTCCCTGGTGTTAAGTACCCCATTATGTGCAGTTTTTGAAGTTATACTTCTTTAGGCGCGTTATGAAAAAATTATGAGAGTGAAATTTTAAGATGCGCGCGCATCACTGTAACACAAAATTTTAACAGCATGAAGTTGGTCGCTTTAGCGACCAACTTCATGCGTTACTTTTGTGTTTACCGCACATTAAGAAAATCTACCAACAAAATAGAAATAGAATCTCTATTTAGTGGGTGCTAACGACTGCATTGTGAAGGCCTATCAAAAGTATTTATTAATCTGGAACAACGGAACCAATTCGGATTCAGGAGACTACAGCGCCATCTCTTGACCATTGGTGTAGTAGAATCAAAAACCACATCTTTATTTTTTGTAATAAAGTAACAGTTATAGATATTCATATTTATAATATTTATCCACATGTTTCTAGTTTGTATATTCGGAATACGTGTTTGAGTTTCGTACAAGACAAATCACATATGTTCTAATAAATTATATTCAGTAGCGATTTTAATTGAATATTTTGATTATTTATTTATTTTTTCAAATTAAAACTGAACTTTATTGACTGTGTCCTTTTCCAGGCTTTTTATCAATTTATTGTAATTAATTATTTGCATGCAATTAAAAACTAATTTTAAACGATGCCAAAGAAGGATAACTTCTCACGCGCCTACATAAGTACACGCACCCATTTTTTATTACAGATTTTACTTAAAAAAAGCAGATTCGTAAGTATGCCGTAGATGTGACGACATAAACACCGCTCACGGACACAATATCTCCGATCGGTTGAAGCCAGTGCGAGCATGAGTTCCATCCGCTTGAAATACGTCTGTGAATCTTTTTTCTACAGAAATGGAGTAAATAAAAATTATTTGCTTATATTTCCGTTCTTCCTCTTTCGTTCTCAACAATAAATCAAACAACTAGCTAAATACGAGTTCCGTTATCATGATATATTTTTTTATAAACCACAGTTGGCAATCCTAGCGCAACCGCCTAGCGTTGGTATTAGAAGTGAGGTACATACACATGATTGACTTCTGCACCTAACTGTTTTGTGCCGCCGCCGCACCGCAGCACAATCGCAGCGTCAATCAATCATACCCTCGGAAAAAAAACTTCGCTTCATTTAAATTGCTTCACTCCGCGAACACCGTGATCCGCGATATCGAACAATAATCGGACGCCGCCATCAAATTAACTTACGCTTTCATTATTAATGCGGGTCGTAGGTCGAAGTCAATTTCACCCAATCCATGTTAGGAATAGCTGGTGAATAGAATGGATAGGCTAATTAATGGTAGGCTCAAGCATTATTACTATAAACGAATTATTTATCATAACACGCTTCACGCACTTTGACGGAATTGGAATAACTTTAGCAAGGTACTCGTACGTTAATTCAGCAAAGTGTAGAATAAGGCGATCGAGAATTAACTATAGTCTATTCACTTTGGCGTGAGACAAAATGTAAACAAAGAATCTGAGGTACTAAAACTTTAATATTGTCAGAAAGTACCAACTATTAAAGTCACTGAAAGTACATATCTACTCTTAAATTTTGTCGTATTATAATACGTCTTAAGTTTGGGAATGATCGTGTTTTTAAGTCTTTTTCCGTGTCAACTTAAGTTGTTAAAATACTTTTATCAGCAAAATAAAAATATACGAATTTACGTTAAATATGACGTGTTAATTTTTTTTTATTTTCTTATTTATATTTATGTACCAGCTTTTAAAATAATTAACTTAATGTTTCGCTGCATTTCCTATGTAAATTGTGTTTAATCTTTACTTTTGTCAAACGTGACCTTAAAAAGTATCCTTTTTACCCGGCTGCGCAATGCAAGAGCGCGAAGCGCGACGCGCAGACAGGGTTATGTGTTTAACAGTCTATATATGTATGTTTGTTCCTTTGTGGCACACTAGAGACCAAACGCCTGGACCGATTTTGATGATTTATACATCAATCGATTCGTCTCAATCATGGAAGTGCTACTAAAGATATGATAGTAATCAAAATTCAATATGCGCAAAATTAGGCGCCATATTGTGACGAAGTAAAAAAAATAAGTTGACAAAACATGTCGAGTGGGGTATCACTGTCTAGATAATCAAAAATCATGTTTAGGTTCCTAACATCATTTTTCATTTTATGTGATTGTTTAGGATCTACAACGCTTTAAAGTTGTATATTAACCGCTTACGCTTTTAATTTCAATCTTACGTTTATATGGATCTTTGTTACTCTTTCACCTTAAAAAATACTGATTGGATTTTAATGAAACTTAACAGTAATATAGCTCATATATGATAATTACATATATATAACAATTTATGGAGTTATTGAAGAATTGGCTAATATAAAACAATAAGTGTCACATAAGACGGAAAAAAATCTCCCATCTGCGAGCCATTTTGGCCTGCACTGCAAAAACAATAAAAGTTATATAAATGTAATGTAGAGTGAAAATATATCTCTTAAATAGTTCTAAAAAAAAGTCCGTGACACCATACATCTATTTTTAATGTGTGAGTCATTACCGCTGAAATAGTGAATCAAAACTAAAACATTATTTGATATCTATTTCCAAAATGCACATTTTGATTAACAAATCATTTTTTATCCAAACAAATACTTTTATCGCTTTTGATATTTAAAGGCGATAAACTTTGCTTTTTACACTATGTCATTTTGACAAATATTTAAAAAGTTACAACGATGACAAAGTGATAGCGCGGTGTACTATGTAAGAGAAAAAAAAGGGGTATTCGCAGTATCTGATCCTATACGAAGTACTAACAATAAAACTGTGATACAGTTCCTTCTTATTAAATGATGAAAAATATATTATGATAATAGGTATTTATGATTATTGAATTTTAATGAAAAACTCAGAATTTTACTGTTTTTCATTTTTTTTAACGATATTACTTAATGTTACAAAAAAGGTTTACTGAATATAATGACAAATAACTCATTGTTCGCTAGTAAGTACATACTTATTGGAATACCTGTATTTATTAATCAGCTCGCGATAATATTGGTTTTGTAATAATTCTGCAAAATTCAAAGTACATAATGTAGATTTTTATAGGTAATCCCCCTTTCATCACCCTACGCCTATAAGTATTGCGATGTTGTAGCTAAGAACCAAGTTCCCATCTACTTCTATATGGGAATTCATTATATTCGATTTAGCTATTAGGGCACGGAAGCGCAACAAACAAACTCACTTTCGCATCTATAATATTATATTATACTTACTAGTGATCCACCCGGGCATTGTACGTGCGAAATTTATTTATCGGGATTAAATATAGCCTATGTCACTCGGACAAAATGTATTTAAATAAAGAAAAATGTTATATTAAATAATGTAGCTACCTTATGATGAAATAATATTTGGAACCGGTTCAGTAGTTTGACAGATTATTTGTCACAAATATACAAATCTTGCCTCTTTGTAATATTAGTATAGATAGTTAGGATAAGATAAGTATTTAATTGATGAAAAAGATTTAAAAAAAAGGTAAATTTAAAAAATCAAAAAACCCGGCTGCTTAATTATACTTTAAATAAAAACTGAAAAGAAAAAAACAAGTCCAGTAGTCTATAATTCTGTTAATAAGGAACAAAGCTACTATAACAGTCGGGACCCATTAGATATTCAAGAATACATAATATTTTTCAATAATGGGTCCCGACTGTTAAAGTAGCTTTAGCGTAGCGTGGCCAGCGATGAAGCACACATTCGCAAGAACAATGGTGGAATTTTGTCCGGGCCTGAACCCTTGTACACGTCTAAACTCATCAATTTACGTAATACCTGTCTCTCTGTAAACTTAATTGTATGCAAAGGTACATCGCTAAAAGTGTCATCAATACAGAAGCTTCCCATGTCAGCCTTATCTCCAAAAACCGAGCTAAACTTCTCAGCAAATAGGTTGACAACTTCGCTTCCGTTAGTGGCTTTAGTGTCATGAAGGAACATATTAGATGGCAAGTTCCCCGAGCCAGATTGCTTATTTTTAACAAATTTCCAAAAATGTTTGGGATTTATCCTAATATTATCTTCAACTTTATTTATGTAAGATTTGTATAAGATTTTAATATGTTTCCTACACCTATCACGCAAAATTGTGTACTCATAATGATCCCGAGGATTTTTGTACCTTCGGAATTTAGTCCTCAACTTATCTTTTTCTGCTAAAAGTTTAATAAAACTCTTGTCAAACCAAGGCGGATAAATTCTTCCAGAGGGCTTATATTTTGGAACATTGTTGGCCACAGCCTCACCAATCTTTTCGTTCCACATACGTACCATATCATTAACATCACCTGACTCGAAAGTCTTATTCCAATTTACATTTTTTAGATAGGTATTAATTTTTTCAAAGTTGGCCTTAAAGAAGTTAAAATCCGAGCGCACTCTCGGTACCATATTATTTCCTAAGCAGTACGGTAGCTCAATTTCTCATGGTGGATGATACGTGTCGACCCTACTTAGTACATTATTTGAATTCAAGACCTTAGTTTCCAATATATCTGATAACACTAAATCTAATATTTTTTTATCACAATTTTCAATTCCATTAAACTGATACAGACAAGAAAGAGCCATAAAGTCAACCAAATTATATCCCAAGTCATTGTTATAGTTACGAGGTAAAAAATTATTAGCACTAGGCACCTGAGCCCATGAAATGGAGCCCATATTAAAATCTCCAATCATCACTACATTGTCAAGATAATTCACGACATCACTGCATTCCGAGAAAAAGTTACTGACTATTTCTAATTTCAGAGGTGGAGGTAAGTATACTGCACAAAATCCAATCTTTTTTACAGTTTTTCCGGACCGAGCCTCTATGATTACCCATAAATCTTCGTTGCTTGATTCCCACTGCTCCTGTCTATAAGATTTAAACTTTTTATTAACTGCGATCATCACTCCTCCGCCTCTGGATTTTGTTGCATTTTGACAGGATGAACGATCTCTTCTGTATACGGTGTATCTAGGATCAAATAGTTCACCGTCACTTATGTCACGTGTTAACCATGTCTCAGCAATAACCACTACATCATATTGGTTCTGCAGAACATTTAAGTAAAATTCAGTCGTCTTTGTTCTTAAGCCCCTGGAATTTTGATAGTAAATCTTGAATTTTACAATAGATTATACAAACTCTATTCCAAAATAAACACAAATATCGCTTAAACTGCCAAATCATTTAATATCTCCTTGTTTAATATTACTTTGGCCGGTGAATTCTCGTCTTTACGAATATAAATTTTGGCGTTTCTCACCCACACAAACTTATAATTAAGGAGCTTGGCCTTTTGTCTCACTGCAGCATGAAGCAGCTTATTTTCGGGTGACAGATGTTCACCTATAAAGATGGGAACCTTATCACCACCTATGCCGATTAAATTATTATTTATCTTGTCATCCTGATGAGCCTTGTTATATTTAGCAACTGAAGCTAATAGAGCATCCCTACACCGGTTACTACGAAGCTTCGCTATCACAGTTCTCGGGCGCTTACTCATTGGATCCATCTTGGCAACACGATGACAGGCAAGAATTTCATCGTCTTTAATAGGGTGATCTACTACTTTCCCAATTTGCTGCAAAGTCTGAGCCAGATCTTCGTTCTTAAACTCGGGAAGTCCATGTAATTCGATATTGGAATCTCTTGAGTACTGCTCAAATGTAGTTAGCCGATTGAAAACATCTTTGAGTTTTAACTCTATTTTACGGTTGTCTTCTAATAAGCACTTCACGTCCAATTCGCGTTTGCCCACAGCAGATTTCAGGTCCTCATACTTATCGCTTATAAAGTTTATTGATTCCTTCAACGCACTTATTTCATCACGCAAACCTTTTAATTCTGACTGCAGAGTATTGCGTACAATTCTAGGAAGTTCCGCCGCAAGAGTATCCTTGATTTGCTTCTGAATCAGTAGTGCAATACACTCATTATTGCCTTCCCCAGACTCACTGGAAGTAACATCGACTCTAGACCCACGCACCGGAGTGTCAGAGTTATCTCCAATTTTAGGCTGACCTTTCTTACATTCAGGACACTTCCAAGCATTTTTCGTCTCCTTTGAGAGTTTTTTAAAGTTTTCCTTAGTTACGCCCACGCATATATGATGATAACCCTTCGGACATTTAGAGCACGATATAATATCACTTCCAGAAGTTGGTTTATGACAGCCTCCACAAGTACTCATATTTTCCCAATAATTTGGCAGTGCAGTTGAATGTGGCAACACTTTGTCTATATTGTTCACTGTCAGATTCAATTTTGACACACGTCAGTTGATATTGACAACAAAAAACACCAGTGATTGCAGGGTAGTTGAATATTTCTTTCGAACTTGATAATAATTATGCAATATAAACACGATGAATTTCGACGTATTACTGTTGGATAACAATATTTTAGTGTAATGATTCACTGATCAACAATATGACACCACTCCACAACGTAAACAGGCAAGGATGCAATTAATATTCGCAGACGAAAATAGGCAGAGTTACACAGGTATTTTTTTTTTTTTTTATAGCAGTGGCCTGATTTTGATCAATTCTACCCCCAAGGGGATACAATAGGAATTGAAAGTCTGTATGAAACTTTGTCAATTTTTAACCGATCGGGCTGAGACTTTGCATGCAGGTATAAGAAGAATCATAGAAGAATGTCATTGTGTATAATACAAGCCTGAGAACAAAAACTGTAGTCTACACTTCAGCTCTACACCGAAGCGAAGCGAGGGCGGGCCGCTAGTTTTATTATATTTTATCATTATTTTATCTTCACAGTCCACACAAGAGCATCTTCAGATGGAATATTTCAAAAGCCGAACCATTGAAAGAGAGTATGTATAAGGTAACTAGGGCGAACCAAGCGAGGAGTGGAAAAATAGTCCATTCTTTACGTAGTACCATTTATATAGGGAGGCGTGATCCGAGTGCTTCGCCCGAAGAAAACTTATAATGATCGCGTCGGAGGTTGGCTCGGACTGCGGACGGACCGACCGACGGAGGAAGCCCCGAGATTTATTCGCCACTTAATTTTTTCTCCACTCTGAGTTTGCGTTGAAATAATTCAGAGGAGCAGCGAAAGGAATGCGGCTACTAGCCGTCGGGGAAATGACATCGTTAATCCAATTTGATACATCTCCTAAGATTTTTCAGTTTGGTTTATAACGATTTAATTTTGTATCACGCCGGTAGTGAGCTGTATTGCATGGACCATTATTATATATATAGATAGATACACAGTTGGAATATTCGAAATCTATTCACAATCGCTGTTTTTGAAATAATAATGCTCCTTGTACAACACTTTCGATTTTTTGGAGTTTAATCCTTAAGAATCGATTTGCATATATAAGGGGCCCGGTATGAGAAAAATGAGAGGAGTAAAATCTATCGATGAATGACCTCGTAACGTTTTTATTGTCTACGCTGTAGCAGCCGTAGTGCTACACCGTAGCACAGTATCGTAGCGTACCTTTATTTATGCACATCTGAAATTGACTTTTGTAAAAAGTTTAATGTAAAATATTTCGTCGATTAGTTATAATAAATGTATATGAAATGAATAAATATATATTTATATATGTATATTATTTTCATTAATTTGTTAATTTAGCCTTTCATACAGTATCAATCCTTTTTAAGTTAAATAAACTCTTTTTGCGTCTGGTTAGACTATTTAACTTAAGGAGTAAACTCCAGTCGTGCGTCGGAGCTGACACACACATTTTTTTATTATATATATTTATTCTCTGTATAGCAGTGGCCTGATTTATGCATAATGTTTTTTCTGTCTGTTTGTCTATTGATTTGTCTGACCCAGTCCCGGGGTGACGCTGTTCCATACGTCCCCGGGGGCTGGGGCTTTCGAAATGTTAGATCGCAGTAAAATAACAATACCTTTGGGCGGTGTTGTGATTATGTCTGTGAGTAAGGTTCCAGGCCTCCACGAGGCGGGGGATTGGGTCAGGGTAGGCAACGGTGCGAGTAATATGTATTCCAAACAGTTTCCGGATACTACTTTTGTATATACTTTAAATAAATCATGTGTAATTATAGTTATTATATATATGTATGATAACATCTAATTTTATCTCGCCAACAATCACTTCATTATTTGTCTCTATATTGTAGTAAATATGTGTTTGTCTCCACTGCATTGTCATGGCTGTTTTCTCTCTTCTCCTTGCAAAATCTTTTAAATGTTTATTATAAATAAAGCTAGTCTACTCACTCATAAAGGTGATAGCTGAAAATCGGTATTTTGCCTTAAAACTGGCAAATGTTTAGCCGAGCTTTGGCCTTTTGCTTTCTGCAGCATACATATGGATATTTCATAGCTGATTTCTTGTATCTTTTTTTTATTGTATTACTCTGTCTGTAAATGTATATTATTATGTATGTTGAAGAAATAAAATAAACGCATTGTCTATCTATCTATCTAATATTTTGGTATCATAAGCGTTCAAGCTATGGTGGTCGCTATTTATGTGAGGCAGTTAGTTCTATTTATTGATGACACCTCTTTAGTGTTCAAAGCTAGATGAGGAAATGATTGTAATGGCGAAGTAAATTGTGCTCTCTCTGAAGTTTTTCATTGATTTACGATGCAATTTCAAACAGAAATCAAACCCATAACTTTAACACGAGATTTAAGAACAAGCTTGCCGTTCCATGCTTCAGACTCCAAACATCAAGAGGTTAATTTCTGGGTTGTAGTGTTGCATTATTTAATAAAGTTCCCCAAGATCTGATTGAGCTTGCACTGACCAAATTTAAATCTCAGATCAAGAATACTCTTATGTACAGGGGCTATTATAAAGTTGATGATTATCTAAATGATCGTTATGCAATTAACATAGTGTTTCTTGTTATTTAATAGTCATTTTTCATAACAGTAATATGGTACCTGTCTAATGCCGCTTCCTATATACTAAATATAAAGTTAACTATGAAAAAAAATATTAAATATATATCTATATTTTTAATGATGTAATGGAAGGTGACTTCAGAAGTATCTCTGAAGTCTCAGCCCTTGCTGAGTTTCTTGCCGATTCTTCTCAGTACAAGGTCTCCCGCCGTAGTTTTGCGAACCGATGGTGTAGCTTCTTGACCTTGATTTGAAGTACTTGTAACAGCCTAGGCTAAATTATTGAAATATAAACATGGCTTATTGTAAGGCCCTAATGAAGTAAACAGAATATATTTTAAAGAAAATATAACTAGAAAAAAATCCACGCGGACCAGGCAGCAGACGGGACTCGAACCCGCACCCTTCGCAATCCGGGCGAATGCACTGACCAATTATGCTACCGCAGCCCTCACGGACCGCGTCGAAATTCTTCTAGCCATTTTTAAGCTGCAAGGCAGCGCCATCTCTTCGCATTATAGGTAACCCACAATATAGAATATATTTTGTTTATTTTTGGCTTTTTATTGCAGTAAAAAGCGTATTTTTTATTTTTTTAAACTATTCATTTATACAAAGTACAAAATTTTAATCAATCCTATGCACTTTTGAACAATCTCCCCATACAAACTTTGACACGATTTTTTTTAATTTTATGAGGGTAGTTGTTAAAATTTTATGATACAGGTTCTAGTGTACATTTATTAAATAATGTTTATGCAAAATTTGCAGTCAATAGATCCAAGGGATAAGATTTTTTACGCTTAACAGGCTGAATTTCAAAAGAAAACTATCTTATTACTAGTCTAGGCAATAATAGGAACCGACTGTCCAAAATTCATCATTCTAGGTCCAGCCGTTTCGGCTGTGCGTTGATGAGTCAGTCAGTCAGTTTGTCAGTGTATCCTTTTCTCTCTTTATGTAAAAGTATAGATTGAGTAAATATGTAATTTTATTAGCGTAAGCAAATCAGTTCACAGTCGGACGTCATATGTACCGCGTATGCTAATAAACGTAACAGATTCAACATAATTGGTGTTATCAATTTATCACCAAACTATCATTAATAATAAATAAATAAATATTTCCAACATTCACACCAATTAGCCTAGCCCCAAAGTAAGCACTGTAAGGCTTGTGTTATGGGATACTAGGGTAATGGATAGAATACATATACAGTACATATATAAGTATATTTAGATAGAAATAGATATTAAACATCCATGAGTACAAATGCTCGTATTCATCACACTAACATCTGCCCCCACCGGGATTCGAACCCGGGACCTCTCGAGGCGATACCTTGAAACCCGGCGTACAAACCATTTGGCCATGGAGGTCGTCATTTAACAACATCATCTCGAAAGGTGTAGAGGAAAATTAAAATTTTTAAAATTTTAAATTGTTTTATTTCTTTACCATACATTTGGTTACATAGATAAAGGTAGGCTCTTTTTTTACAAGCTTTTATTTAACTTGCTATGTATGTTTGTTACGGTCAAATCTTACAACTCAATTTACAGCACTTGCCCTCAACCGGTTAAGCTGAAATTTGGTATGCTCGTTCAATTCGGATGACAATGCATGATTAACAGTGTGACGTCATTCTAAATCCAACATGGCGGCATACCCAAAATGGCGGACCAATCATTTTTAATGCATTCCTACAATATGGGTATCAAATTAAAGGGCTTGCTGAGAGTAACTCGAAAAAAATGTAACGTCACCCTCAATCCAATATGGCGGACTTTTAAACGCGTTCAGTTTGTTTGACAATACATAGTTAATTGTGTTACGTCATTCTAAATCCAAGATGGCGAAACACCCAAAATGGCGGATATTTTTTTTTCTTTTTAGCGCATTTGAATAAAAGCTTGTTTTTAAAAAGTTTTTTTTAACCTTAATTTTATTTAAGTGTAAGACACCTGTACCAAAAAGAACCACTCTTCCATAGCTTGAGTTACATTATGGTAAGGTCATTCATTTTATTAAGATTAAATATTTTACATTGTGAGTTACACCACAGAGTTAGTTAAAGTTAAATTACTAAGAATTTACATGGCAATTTACGTTAAAATAATTTGGTGCAACTCACGCTAGTCAAAGCACTTCTAAATTACACAAGAATACAATGTAATGTTTCTTAGGTTTTCACGCACATCACTCATTAAATAAAACTAGTTTTTACGGGTTAATGCACGAATTAACCCGTAAAAACTAGTTTTATTTAATACAATGTAAACTAAATAAGCGGGGTGTTTATGTATGTGTGTGTGTGTG